CTTAAATTCTTGTAGGATCCTTAATATGATAAGGAAATTTCCTTTATTAAGGGATTTTGGAAGGTCTTGCTGCAAGGGAGAGGGCTTTCGTGCCAGCTTCAGGACTCGTCGAACCCATGTGCCCCAATCTGAAACGCCAGACCTGCCGCCTTACGAATGCTTTTGCGCACCGAGGAAGAAGCAAGGAAGACTTCCCTGCTCTACAAGCTCGGATGAGGCACCTCTTCTCTGGCAGAATGGCAAAGCCGATGAGCCGCAAAGGTGTACCAATCTGACAAGGCAAAGTCCGACTCAACGGACTGGACGCTCAGAGGTTCAGGGTTTAAGGTTTAGGGTGTTGTGTGATCAAAGGGATGGATTTAAGCTGGTCCAACGATTTTAGGACGGCATTATGGAGAGAATAGAACAGAAATCCCTGACCGACAGCACTTCTCGTACATAGTGCCAAGCAGGTTGCATTTGAGTACCATGTGATCTGTTAAGTGAAGTGGAGGAGAAGATCGCCTCGCTGTCGAGGCCCTTCTAGGCGTGTATGGGCAGCGATTGTAGCTCCAGCGACGGGTGTTTTAATGTGTCACAATGAGATAGCCTGGTGCGAGGAGCCAAACCTGAGGCTACCCTCCTTGCTCTGTGGAAAAGTCTGCCACCACGTCTATACAAGAAGGTTACGTAACTTTGGAAGTGGGATGTCAACGTTTAAAGCTGACAATTGCTACCGGGCTGGAGAGTGCTCAGCCCCCTGCCGGTATCAATACTTTGCAGTGCGCCGCGTGTACAGAATTCGTAGATTTTGATCTTTTCGTCTCACTGCGTAATCGATCAAGTAATGCCAGTGCTTGCGGAGAACTGGACACTTCACTCCATGGAGAAAGAGCTTCGGGAACAGCATGGCGGTATGACCTCTATGACTCGAATGTTTGAATGCTTAATTCCAAGGTACAATGTCGCATTCTCTTCTCTTCAAACAGCACGTGGCTCATCATGGATTGCGGCTTTGAGGTGCAGCCTGGATTGGGTAAACAGTGGTCTCAACTTCTCGCCAGGTCACCAAGATGTCGTGATAAATCCCCAACACTGACAGGATCTTTGTCGTGCCAAAGAGGATGAAATTCCTGGACCAAGGGATGCTGAGAATACTTCGATCTGCGTGATTGTTAACATGGTATCTTTTGCTTGAGTCAAGTGACAACGCCACGGCGAAGACCGTTCCGGCGATGACCGTGTCTATGGTTTCCTCAGAGGTGAAACCTTCATCTTACTCGCTTGTGTCCGGCACAACCCAAGTCCAGAGTCCAGACCAGTCCAAGATGCGTGGAGTGGTAGGATCCAGCCTATGCCTTTGCGCTCGACGAAGGGTATGATGGCCTGCTGGCATGTAGAGGACTCGGGTCTCACTTCCACTTTTGAGGGCCCCGGTAAAGATCAGTTTGGGGGCTAGATTTTTCGGTGTAGGGTTGATTTTGTAGGGCTTTGGGTCACAAGTCGTAGTCATGTGCACTCTGAATGTCTCGACACTTTCCGCTCTCATACTAGCATGTTTTGGGCACACATTCGTAACTACCGACAGGAAGCAATCATGAGCACAGGGTTGCCGGCCCAAGCATTCTAAACCCTAATCCCCTAAACCCTAAACCCTACGGTAACTCCACAGCCTTCCCACTTCAACATCGCTCTCAACTTGCCCTCGACCCACACACAAAGGAATCTTCGAGTGTCAGGAAGAGAACAGACACATTTAGAATAGGGCTCCTTTAAAGGGTTCCTTTAAGGGATAGTATAAGGGATCCATAAGGGTACTATATCTTTTAGGGACCTTACTAGTTAGAATTCCCTCTTCCGGCACCCTGCCTCGTAGACAAAGGACTCGAGTACGCACACTTCCAAACGTACTCGGAGAAGCGCCTGAACGAGATTCTCACAAATCAGTTGACCGTGGGTGGGTTTCCACGTCAGATCAACTGACCCGGCTAGTGTGCAGAAGTGCGGAAGAGCCCGAACAAAATTTTTTTCGTCATAACAGCATTGTCTACATGTTGCCACCCTTCCCAGCACCTCGATCGCCAAAGGACGATACTCAGCTCCCTCGGCACCTAAGAGGCCATCGGCAAAGGCCTGCAACATGTCCGATTCCCCCCGACGAGGCAGGAAGCTTGACTGGTACAACTGCTACACTGCTACTGCTAGTTGTATTATTACTATTAATCGTACTACTACTACTACTACTACTACTACTACTACTACTACTACTACTACTACTACTACGACTACTACTTCCACCACCACTTCTTCTACTACTACTCCTCCTCCTGCTCCTCCTGCTGCTGCTGCTACCACTACAAGTACTGCTACATTTACAACTACTGCTACAACTGCAACTACAACTAACTACTACTGCGACTACCACTGCCACTACCACCGCCGGTGCCAGTTCCAATAACAGTAACAGTACCAGTACCACAACTGCCACTGCCACTGCCACTTCCACTGCGACTGCATCTGCCACTACAACGAGAACGGCTACGGATGCTGCTGCTGCTACATGTTGCTGCTACAAGCTGGATATCACCAATGCCATCGCTGCAAACAGCTGCTGTTCGTCTGAGGACTGGCTCCTAGACACACCTGATCATCAGGAGTCTCAGCTGCCTTACCCAGGCCGTACAAGCCGTCGCTCGCAGGGCAGACCGGCTTAAACGTCCTTGGAAATCAGGCGTCCGAACGATGCGATGCCAAGCAAAAACAACAAACCTCTATCAGCTGCAAGTGGAGGAGCTCCACACAGTAACCCCTGAACGTGCCCTCAAAGAACAACGACGCCTTTATTTAAAAAAGCGGACTGAAGGCAACCGGAGGATCTCCGGAGACAGATCCCTCATGTCCAGCGCTGCCGACTGTGCCTCCGAGCATATCAGGCTTTCCGAAAACAGAGGACCCGAATATAGGACCCTAAGCAGTAGGATCCTTCTTTTAAGGACCCCAACATAAGGTACCCCTAGTTTTCGGAAACTCCCATGACATCACTATGGGGGCTTTTCGGGGATCGTAGATTGCGAGGATTGTGTGAGGCAGTGTTGGGGCGACAAACCCTCCCCCGTCAAATCGTCAGAGCATTGTATTCTAGCTTCCTACCAAGTGATCTCTGAGTGGGGTCAGCCTCATTACAGCCTACTTATAACCTGACTTACTGAGTCCCATGAGCCTCAAAGTCGAATTCAAACGCTGGGAGTTTCGGGTTTAGGGTTCCTTTCCGTGTATGGCGCTCATCGGGCGGTCGAAGGGCCCACAAAGCTCGAACCCCAAACCACAAGACCCTGATAGAACCTTCACGGATGTCTTGCAGCACCCATATAGGCCCTTCGGAACCCTAAACCCTAAACTTGCCTAAACGCTGGAATTTTGAACCCCCCAAGCCCAGAAAATCCCAAAACCCGGCCTGAGCTGACGCGGCGAAGCCTAGCCCGGCTACGGCAGCCGCAACAGCCGGCTGCAGTGGTTCCATTGGCCCCCGCGCTGGTGGCGGTGCCGGCAAGAAGGCGGTCAGGGCCATCCTTGAGGGATTCAGGGTTTTGACTTAAGGGGGTGTTAGGGCTTAAGATTTGTAAGCCTATATATATATATATATATATGTATAATATACACATACGTATGTATAATTATAAATACAAATATGAATATACATATAAATAGACAAATAGAAATAAATCAAATATATACATCTATACATATATATATGTATAGATGTATATATATATATATATATATACATATATATGTATATGTATATATGTAGAGGGAGGCTTAGAGTTCCGAGTTTAAGGTAGATTCTGGGCTGAAGCTCGGACTTCTCAGGTGGGTAGTCGACTGCATCTTATTACCGCATACTATAGGGGCCTTAATAATTAGAACAGGGTTTGGGGGTTCCATTTAAAGGGGTTACTATAAGGGCTGCTGTGCGGGTGCTGTGGTCTGGGGGTCTGAATACTTAGGCCTTTCCTCGCCGCCTGGCTGCAGTACTGAGGCCTCCTGTCTGGATCTGTCTCACTTCGGGGCCGCTCGGCCCTCACCACTCGTAGGTCCTTAGGTCCTCACCCAAAGTGGTTGAGGTGTAGCCCGTACCTCACGAGGCTTCTTCGCTTCGCCCTCGCCGCTGGCGGCCCTCCTTGGCTCCTCGCCCAAAGCGGCTGAGGCATAGCGCATCTCTCACGAGGCCTGCCGCCGCTAGTGAGTTTCTCTCATGCATGGAATCCGTTTTTCGTTTGTTTTCCCCGTCTCGGACGGCGCTCACGCTTTGGCGCTTGGAGAAGAATAATTAGAATAGGGCTTTGGGGTATATTCTACTTTAGTGATATTAAGGAGCCCCAAGATGGTGTTTGTAATTAATTCAGCCCCTATACTAACTTGACTTGAGACTGGCTCTGCACTGCAGCAGGCCAAAAGACGGCTCCGATTTGCGGTTTAGGGTTTAGGGCTTTTGAGGGTGCAGGCATAGAATCCTAAAAGCCTAAACCCAGTAAACCGCAACCATTGCGATTGGGTCTAGGGAAGCCCTACGCTGTACTCCGGAGTTGGCCAAGGGTCCCCGAAGCGACAATGGCGCCGGCTGCCACAGCAAGCCTGCATCCTCGCCACTCACGTCGCCGGCCAAGGCCTCCAGCGCGTTTAGGGTTTAGGGGTTTAGGATTCAGGGTTTCATCACGTGAAAATGGTTTTGGGGTCCGTTGTCGTATAGTAATGAGGAAACTATCAGGCGATTCCGTTTTACTTTTTCCGAGCCCTACCGTAGGTCGAGATGAGCATCGAAAATATTCACTCTCCCAGTCCCGACATGACTACACAAGAGTGTGTATTAAAGAACAAATATACATACAGATATAGATACAAGTATAAATACATGAATGAAGAAGCAAACAACTAAATACGCATGAATAAAATATATAATTTCTGTATACAAAAGGCATACATCGTATACATACATCGTACAGCCTCCTGACCTCTCAGGCCCCAAGCCCTATGCCAACTGTTCAGGCCCCTATTTAAGGTGCAGCAGAACAGTTACGAATAGCTTTCAGATGTTGAGTCGTTTACCTCTAGCAGTGACGCAGAGGAGTCTGCAAGAAATATCAGGGTCTCCACAACTTCCTCAAAACCTCAACCCGAAATGAATGTCTGCAGCTGCCATTTCAGGCACGGAGGCACGGATCAGACTCGGGAGCCTAGCACATGTACAAACCGCGGTATTTGATGGCTTGGATTTAGGACTTTTAGCGATTTAGGGCTTGGTGTGGATTTCGGAGTGAGGGTCTCTAGGTTTGGGTATACCCTGAGACTCCAATATCCCTTAATCAAGGAGTATTCCTTAACATCATATTAGGGATGCTACTATAATTCAAGGTATATTCCTTAATTCAAAGATATTGGAGTCTCTGGGTAGCATTTAAGGTTTACGCTTGCAGTCATCGGACAATCCAGAAGCGAATCACTTGTGGATGAACAACAACAAGAACTACTCGACGGCTCGGCGAGACCGTAGCACATCGAAATCTTCTAACATTCAAGGAGCAGGGACAAGTGGTGAAATTACTAATCCACCTTACCAAGAGCCTTGCAGAATGTTGCCACGGCCTGAAATGACACGAAAGCCCGAATTGAAACCGTTCGTCATGGAGCCTTGGCAATCCGAGGGGCAATTCGATCTTGTCCGTGCCATGACAACCCGTTTTGGGTCAACAGGTCCAACCTAACTAGACACAAGCTACGCTCATCACCTTGCAGTTCCATTGGCTGCGCGCAGCGACACTCTGGCCGTACATTCTGCCATCTGCAAACATGTGTAGCACATGGGTGGTTGTCGAAATCCTGGTCCCCTTTTGGGTCCTTAATGTAATACGGCACCTAATATTAGGGGTACCCAAAAAAAGGGACCATAATTTTGACAACTACCCACATGGCTGGCACATGACACCCCCTGTGCTGCAGCTCGCATCGCTTCAGCTTCCTAGTAAGCCCAATATCCCTCAATTGCGGAATAGAGCTCAGATCACACTGTGTAGCCTGTGTTAAGTTTCGGGTTAGTAACGGGGATTGGGCTCTCTGGGTTTGGATTCCCTCTAGCATGAACCCTAACCCTTCGATGTATAGCCGTTTCGTCGCCAACACCCCAGAATTTCGAATCACTGGGTCGGATCCAAACATGATCCATAGATCCGAAGTCTAAGCCTTCATAGTTCATATTCTAGGGTCCCGACGCACGGCTGTGACAAGGAAAACCTGATACCACGATTCCTCCGCAAGCCAAACAAAATGCATACTCTCAACGCCAAAACCCGACATGAACTTCTTTCCATCACCTTAAGTCCTGTATAAACCCTAAACCCT